TAGTGGTTTTGCTTCATAAAGATGCTTATTGTCTTCCCTTCCCCTTCTCTCCATGAACCCCTACTCCTTGAAGAGGAACATCTCTCAAAGCAGGCTTTAAGATCATCTGACTTGTGATGGACAGATTCCTGCATGCATGAGGTATATGGAGTATCTTTCCTTTCCTTAGAGTCACACACATTTCAACAAAATGTTCCATGAGGTGTTCTTCCAACTCAGGAAAAAGTCAAGAGTTAGAGCTGTACTCGCAGTCAGGGCTCCGTGTCACTTTTAAGTTTATACCATACTGGTCTACAATTTCCTTTGTCTTTTTGCTCCATCTCTTTCTGACAGAGCAGTGTCTTTCATCAATGCCTGTGTAAAATTCATTTGCTACTAACTAAAGAGAGTAATCTATAAGCCATCAAAGCTCCCTTCTCCCTCCAAAACTGCTTTCTGTAGAGCCCAGCCAGTAACTTTGCAAAATTTTCTGGTGTCATGCGGCATTAGAAATTGCTGTATCCTGAGTGCGAAGCTGTTAGCAAGGCTGTTGTTCATCTAACAGGCGTTTATTCTTTCCACATTTTAAATGGTTTATCTGAGTTTGGAAAAACTGTTAAAACATTTTGATCAATTTCAAGGCTAAACCTGAACAGATGCATGAAATCAGCAAAGGACCCAGTCCAGCATGGTGGAGTGCTCTGGCTCACCCTGAGTCTCACTGCAGTGGTCGTACCCTAAAGAACTGCGGCATCTCTAGGGGAGATTTGTGTTCATCAGAAAATGAATGTTGGGATCTCTCTGTAAGAGTGCTTGCGTCCCTGCTGATCCACAGCTACTGACCTCTAAACTTTCGGCTGCAAACAGGTCCAAAGTTTCTGCTACAGTCACAATGTAGCCGTGATGGTTTCTGTCATTTTGGGAAGGAAACCCTTAACAATCTGTAGGAAGAAAAAACCCCAGAACTTCATTTATGTGCAAATAGGCCTATTAAACTGGTAAATGTGAATACATCTCCCTGGTGGGTCTCTTTTGCTGAAACTCAGCTGGGTCATTCACAGTCTTCATTTGTTTCTAGTTTTAGCTGCAGGCTAGAAAAATTCTGGCTCCACAGCTAAACTATGGCAGTTTCTCTCACTGCCCTTTATTCTGTTCTGTGAATTTTGTGTTTGGAGTTTTTCATATTCCAAAAGACCAGTGTGAATGATTTGGCAGATGCTCACAAAGATTTTTTTTTTTTCAATACCCTGTCAGCATGCTGACTGTTTTATTTTGATTATCGTGATTTGGCAGATGCTCACAAAGATTTTTTTTTTCAATACCCTGTCAGCATGCTGTTTTATTTTGATTATCATACTGCTCCACAGTGAAGTTGCTGACCCAACAGTTCAGAGATCTTTTCATGGCTTTCTTGATGCATGCCTTTTTTCTTGGGTTTTTTTTTCAAATTCTATTACAAAATTTTATGCTGGAAAATTACAATCTATTTAGAGATAGACTGACTATTGGAGGTATCTGGTGCTGGGTTTTCAGTTTAGGTTATTATGTTGGGAAGTCAGAGGTTGCATCCCAATTAAAGCTTGTATTTCTTCATATTCAGTTCTGATTTTAAAAAAACCAAACCCTGAACATAACAATGCAGCAGTTGGATGCTGGCATGTGAAATATTTAATCATCCTATGAGATTAACAAGGTCTTGTTTAGCAATTCAGAAGCATCAAGTTTCCCTTTCTTTTTCACTAGAGAAAAGAGTAACTCTGTGCTAGCACTCAGTGTTGGCATTTGGAAGAGCTGAACACATGTCCCTGTGACGGCTGGCATAGAACACAAAAGCATTCTTCAGTTGTGGTACTGCTAAAAAAATGCATGTGACAAACTGCCTTTTAACCTTTTACCTTCACTTTGGCTGCTCGGGTAAGGTTCGACAGAGCAAGCACAAGACACAAGACTGGAGAGGCCCACCCAGCCCAGCACGCTGGTGCCTGTGGCTGCAGTGAGGAACCACCCTGTGCAAGAGAAGTGCGTAGCTGTCCTGGGGGAGACGTGTCCTGCGGGCAAAAGTCCTGCAAGTTGGCTGTGAAGCAGAGCTTCAGAGGTCCCTCTGCAAGTGAAAAACAAGGAGAACTGGGACTTGAGTACTTCTGACTGTTCTGACTTTTGCTGCCTCAATGAGCCCTGACTGAGTTGAAGAACTCATCTAGGTAAAAAGATTTTCAACATTGTTCTGCCAAGAATAAAACCCACTGAAATCAAATAAATTCGACACTAAGCTCTGCTGCAGCCGTTTAACATTCCAGACCTTCCCATTTTTCCTTCCTTGCCAAGCTAGGCAACACAAATCACATTTACAGTTCCTTTTGCATTGTGCACATGACATGGGTTTGCAGTGTAACAAGATTAGTTTTCCCCATAATCTTCTTAAAATGTCCTTCAATTGTCTTTTCATCTTTTTGTGTTCTGGAACTTGGATTAATGGGATTGAGATTTATTCCACAAGTCATATTTGATAAACTGCTTTCAAGAATTAGTTGCCTACAAACACATTTGATTTGGAAAAAGCATTTTAATGGTAGCTGAATTATGCAGTGTTATGCCAAACATACTATAAGGCCTATATATGTACTTGCAGTATGTATGTCTGTAGATACTACTAGACAAGGAGAATAAAACAAGATAGGCTTACTTGCTTCAGAGCATCTAAAATATCTCATGTGGCTTCTCTAGGCAGATTTGCAGAGCCTTGGCTGTATGTTTGCAAACTAGCTGACAAATTGAGCACGAGCCTTTTCTTCTTCTCCCTGCATTTCAAGCACCATCCTTGACCTTACCCCTTCCACTGGTTCCACAAGATGTATTCACCTTGATCTGGTCACCAAATCTCTAGTTAGTAGAAGCTTGATACCAAAGTAACAGCTGGTTTGCTGAAGCACCAATGTGACAAGTCACACAGTGCTAACACTTCATACAGCTCGGAGTGACTAACTTGAGCAACTTTGCCTGGTGCCTTGGCATAACCTGTGTGTATTTTACAAACAGAAAAAACTGAAGCATGGAGCAATTACATGATTTTGAGCTGGTCTAGACCACAGCTGCTTATTGCAGAACTCAGGATTGTTCAACTCCAGTGTTTAGCCCAAAAGACCACCCTGCCAATGTAAAACTGGAGTATGGCTTTGTGCCTTCCCCTGCCTCTTAAACTCCATTTCAACCCCATCTTTTTAGTTGGTCTTATTTAGCAACACAACCTTCCCCAGGAGGTGCTGGGGGGTGGGGTGGGGGGTGTGTCATGGCTCCAGAACATTTCTGAATCATACGGTGGCACCCCCTGCTATGCAGTGACCACTGGTGAGGGGTGAAACGCTGTGCTTGGCTGACCTTTCTGAACACAAATAGATACACACACTCCATGCAAGTGTAGGACACTGAAAATACCCTCAATTCAAGGATGTCACATGTCAGGTCTGGATTCACACCCCATTTCCAAGGTGAATTGATAGCTATAAAATCACCGCACACGGCAGTACTCGGGTTACGTGCCAGGCTGTTCTCTTTCAAGACACGTCTCTCGCTCTCTATTCCTTTCCTCGCGTTACTCAGTGGCAAACTGTTTAACACGATGTATTTTGCCTGTCTACGGCCACCTAAAAGCAAAATAACTGCTCTGTGTTGTGTTCCCCGAGCTGCGGTAGGCAACCTCCCGGCGACACAAACCTGAGCTGAAGCCTGGTCGGTCGCACACCAGCAGGGAGCCAGAGCTGGGAGAAACAGTGGCGTAAGCGGGCAGTCCTTGAACTAACGGGGGCTCCTGCTCTGGATTAAGGCTGGATGTTGCCACTGCATTTGCACACGCCTTTGGACAAGTTACTGAACACCCCTGAACCCGCTTTTTTCTTTCTAAGACGAAAATAAAGAGAAAATTGCATTTTCAAGGCACGTCAGATGCATCGATGTCCCACGCCCGCAGCACTTGCCCGGTTTCAGCCTCCGGACCCCCCCCCGGCA